GGGGGCGAAGCCCGCGAGGTGTATACAAGCCGCACGTTTCCCTTGTTACAGCGGATGTGTACTGGAGATTTTGGAGCCTTATTGCTATCCTCCAGTAACTGTTTTGCGACAGATTTGGGGTCCGCATCCGGGCCGAAAACCTCATCTAGCTCCTTGCGCATCGCCGCGAGAGCGCGTGGCGTCCGAGAGAGTTCATAGATTGACCATTGCAGTACGACAGCTGTAGTATCGTGTCCAGCGAAGAGGAAAGATTTAACAGCATCAACACATTCCTCTAAAACTTGTGGGGTGAGAGTATGTACTTGCCTCAACCCCATGGCCATGACGCTGCGATCGACAACTTTATTGTCGAGCCGTATGTTGTTGTGCGCCATATCAAATTTCTCCTTTACGATGGGCGTGAGGGAGGCCGTGAGTGTTTTCACTAGCGCAATGCGGCGGTAGTGGCCTTTTGGATTGGTGAACCAACTATCAAAAGCGAACGTAGGAGGAAAAGTGCTTATAAGCGAACGGAAGGCTCGAACAATAACGCTCACTTTATCCTGGCCTTGCATGCTCTTGAAATCGATGTTGAGAACCGCGAGACCTAGTTTGGTTGCTCAGTTTTCGGAAATATTTTGGACCCAATATTCACTGCTAACACACACACACACACACACACACACATATATATATATATATATATATACGTAGGAAATTCAAACCCACCAATTATATCAAAAGTAACCTGGATACATGGTTCCGCCAAGCAAAACTTTTCCCCTGATTCCACATATCCATCCAGCAAAGCAAGGAACTCCATGGTTTTGTCAAGTATCTTTGGCATGAAGGTTACCAGGTTGCTGGGGGCAAAGGCGGCATTGAATTTCTTGCGACCATGCTTCCATGTTTCATCATTTGTGAGAATGATAGATTTCTTTCCCACGATGGGTATCAGCATGTTCGCGGTAGGAGATTTTGGAACGCTATATTTAAACATGGCGCTTGCTTTGGAGATCTGTTCAGCAATCTCGTGGGAGCCGATGAGAACTAACGGGTATTGGATGGGGCGGAGGTCGAAGAGGGCTTATTTCATGGAACAATCACATGGTAAGTAGAAGGGAGAGACAAGGGAACGGGAAAGAAGGGAGATAGACCAATGCCGCCATTCCTTGGAGTGCTCCTAAAAAGCTGCCAAAGGGCATGATCTAGAGATTGGATAGATGATATTGGTCAGAGCGTGGCTTCTTTCTCATGTGAATATCCATATACCATAAATATCATACCATGATGTCTACTGGGTTCCTCGGCGATGGTCTCATTGACTATCTTGAGGTGGCCGAAGAAGAGGTCGGGCAGGGCCTGAGGGAAGTGGGAAAACTGATGGAAGCGGTAGAATTTCAACCTAGAATAGAGAAAGAAGACCAACAGGGGAACTGAGGCCGCGCAGATGATGAGGAGGGGGGAGGCTGTTTGGAAAAGTGCCACACTCATCATGTATCAAATGTGATTGATGGGTTGTTATGAAGACCTCTTGTTATTGAG